GTGAATTTGCCGTAGTTTAGGTATCCACGTGGTTAACCGGTCGCTGCCCAGTGCCTTCGCTGCAATGTTCTGACAATGGATGCGTGCTAGAAATAAGGACTTCAACATCCATTGCCTACCAACAGCGTACACGGTCTGTCTGACAACTTGCTTGACTGCTACCTGCCAATGCGATGTTAATAATGACGACACTTGACTTACCGACAAATGCACATGGTAGTGAGTACGAGTGATTAACAACGAGCCTGTCTGACACCTTAAGTTCACGTGCCTCAAACAAGTGTTCTTCCGACTTAAACTCTAACAGCTCGTGGCAGACCGCCGAACTTCTTCTGAGTGTACCATCTCACACCCGTCGAACTTCTCCGAGTCCGAACGCACCATCTCACACTCATCGAACTTCTCCCAGTCCGAATGCACCATCTCACACCGTCATCAGTGAACCGATCAACCCCGATGTCACCTCCGAAAGTTCACCCGTGTAGTCGCAACCCTTGTGAAGAAGCAGAAGAGGCTTTTGGATCGGTCTCTGATGTTTTGCCATTGCCAGTTGTATTCGTCCGAGCGCCTACTAGTGGGATGATCTCGGCCTCAATCACGACCGACCCTGATAAGTTTTAGAAAACTCATCCGCCGTGCTTCACGAAAACGCCCGCCTGCTCGATTTGAGTTATGCGCAGTTGAGTAGCTGATGTAAGTGGCAGGGCTACGGATGCGATCTTGAGATCGCCAGCTTCCCGGGTAACCCTAACCTTGTGCCTATGTGCGACGTGCGTGTTGCTTTTTCTAGAGTCAAATTTGGCGGCGCCGGAGTAACAGTAGAGGCAGGTATGGTATGGGAAATTGGGAATGTTCCTTCAGTACTAGTGCCGTCAACATAACTTGTGCCGCAATTTGTTCAGGTGAGGACATATGGGCTTGACATAAGGAATGGCTATTGCGTCCTTCTATTGATGTGTCTATGGGAGAGGTAGGCCACCAGGTACCGCGTATTTTTCATGCCCACAGAAATAGTAGGGTCCTCCGAGGGATTGAAAACCACTCGTCTCTTTATCGTCCTGGTACCGTTTTCCTTCAAGGAGTAGTCCTATTGAATTCCGTTATTTTGCGATGACTGCGCCCAGACAACTTCATGGAGTAACCTGCTGACTTCTCACTCCAGTTTTGGCGTTGCTGAATGTATTGCGTCACCGAGATGACCGGTTCTAACAGAAGTGCTGGGAACCGGCGCCCGAAGACACAACAGGAAGTTTTTGCAAAGTGACCTGCGTTTTTCACGATGTGAAACGGCGCTCTACTTGGCGTGTAGGTAGACGTGAAATAAGTATGCTCACTTTAGTCTACGGTTGCGAAGGGATATCCGGTTGATTTTTATTTTTTTAAAAACTGCGAGAGACTTTTGCGCTGGTGACCTCTGGACGCAATGGGAAGCCGTCCACCGAGATTGCGAATACGGAACCATTCGCGCAATGATAGGTGGTGCACGGTCTTCATATCCTCTTTGGAATTTACCTGGAAAATGATGTGAGGACTCTTATGCGCACCCCTCCCAGTATATCTCCATGAGAGAGAGGCCATTGATATCAGTCAAAAGCCATTCAAGAACATGGGGTCGAGGGACTGGGGATAGTATCGGATGTGGGCAGTGAGACATCCGTGTAATCAAAAATGTTTCGATGATCTTCTTTGCGTCGAATAACACCAGCGACAGTTTTTTTGTGATTTTAGTTGGCGGAGAAATGAAAGTATATATAGCTAGAGGAGTGTACGGTACTGGGGAATGATACTGCCACAGAAAAGAGTTGATAAATATAGATAGTTGGCATTTCGCGTTTGCATACTGATCACGTGAGCACGATATCATTGCAAACAGCAAGTTGAGCAACACCATTGAACGTAACCGAACAGAAGTCATAATCCGGGTTCTCGGTTAAACTGTTTTTTCTGGCTTGGTTCTCCATCAGTTCTTGGACCGTTCCGAACGGTTCCGAACCTCATGCTATCAGTATTATTTTCCGACTCGTCGGCTTGCAGAACGTCAGTCGAAAATCAAGCTTCAAGCTTCAAGATCTTCGAGATTCAAAATGCAGTCTGTGCTGGGACACATACAAACCTATGCATCGGCATAAGCAGAAAGTGAGAGTCTGAGATCGAAAAGCCCTTTGCGGGCGAGCTCGTCACTGCCATCACAGTAAGTATGGTAATAAGCTACACCGTGCACGACGGAGATCACCACCGTTCAAACTCAGCACCGAAGCTCCCTAGCCCCATCTACAGACTGCAACGACGGCTCGCCTCATACACAGACTGGTTATCAGTCTAAGACTTTGGTCCAAGAGTCTACTACTACGTAGGTTGGTCTCAGTGGCCATCTACCGGATGAGTCCTACTGTAACACCCACTATCTAACGGTAGCGAAAAATTCGCCACCACGCGGGCGGTATTAACTTCAACAGGTGACAGTGCAATGTACGAAACGGTACTTGGTATTGACAGGTATATTGACCTCCGAGTCTTATCACTGATGCTTGACGTAGGTATTGATTTCCTATCCGTACTTTTTTCAAATAGGGCAGCCTCGTGACGGGTCCAAGAGTTATAAATAAGATGGTCAGTATAAGACCTCTTTGATTTCATCCTGCAAGCTCCACTACAACCCCATTTTCGAGTGGATCTTACTCTCCTAGTACTAGATCATGTTGGCTCTCACCAACGTCACTGCGCTCGACCTATGCCTTGCTTGTGTCGGAGTATATTTGCTTAAGCAGGTCTTCAATAAGAAGAATCCTCCATATCCCCCTGGTCCTCCGGGGTGGCCTATCATTGGGAACGTCCTGGACATGCCCTACATCAGGCCCTGGCTCACCTTCACAGATTGGGGTAATAAGTATGGTGAGTGTCTCTTGTTTCACACAACCTTACATTTCAACGTTTTGTCGACAGGTGACATTTCGCATATTAATGTTCTGGGTCGACACATCGTAGTGGTGAACTCTGTCAAGACTGCGATGGACATGCTGGACAACAAGAGCACCATTTACTCCGACCGTCCTATTCTTCCTGTTGGCGGCGAACTTATTGGCTGGAAGAATGTTATGGTTCTCCTCCCTTATGGCGACCAGCTGCGCCTGCACCGCAAAAATTTCCACGGCGTCATTGGCACCCGCGCTGCTGTGGCCATATACAACCAGGTCGGGGAGGTCGAGACTCACCGATTCCTCAAGCGTGTGCTCGCGAGACCCGATCAACTGCAGGCGCATGTTCGACAGTACGTATCATTTATCATTGCATCGACATGTTCTTGATTTTTATAGCACCGCTGGCGCTGTGATTCTGCGCATCTCTCATGGGTACGAGGTGAAAGAGAACGACGATCCCTTCGTCGACCTTGCAGACCGCGTTATGGCCCAGTGGTCGCTTGCCACCGCTCCTGGGGCTTTCCTGGCTGATGTTGTGCCATTCTGTAAGCCATATCATTCAGACGTTTGCTTCCAATGGCCTCACCACTTTTAGTGATCAAGGTCCCCGAATGGTTCCCTGGTGCTGGCTTCAAGCGTCTGGCCCGCGAATGGCGCGACAACCTCGAAGAATTGGTCTGTGCACCGCATAAGTTCGTCGTGGATCAGATGGTGACAATCATTTATAATTCTGCAAGTATGCGGTAAAGTTTGACTTTCACAGGCTGCTGGCACTGCCCCGGAGTCTTTCACCTCGAATCTGTTGAGAGATGATAGTTTGTCAGCGGAAGACGAGCACATCGTGAAATGGTCTGCTGCAGCCCTATACGCCGGTGCTTTTGACACAGTTGGTCCCTCGCTCTATATTTCTGACAATCATCTTCTGAGAGCGGTACACTTTTTCCCAGACTGTTGCTACTATCGATGCATTCTTCCTAGCTATGATGCTATTCCCTGACGTGCAGAAGAAGGCTCAGGCTGAAATAGATGCTGTCATCGGTCCTGATCGTCTTCCCTCCTTCGCCGACCAAGACTATCTCCCCTACATCGGAGCGCTTGTTAAAGAGACCCTACGATGGCATTCTGTTATTCCTACCGGTTTGTGTATTTCATCTAACGCATTATTGAGTTGCCGAGCGGTATTTCAATGTCAGGTTTTGCCCACTGCGTCTCTCAGGACGACATCCATGACGGGTACTACATCCCAAAAGGTTCCTTGATCATGACTAACATCTGGTCGGTACACCTCTTTTTCCATATTCAACATTTGAACAGAATATGATGGCAGGTTCATGATGAACGACCCGAAGAGATATGCTAACCCTTCGCAATTCAATCCTGAACGCTTTTTAGGCAAGGAGCCTGAGACAGACCCACGCACGATCTGCTTCGGTTTTGGACGACGGTAAGCATGCAATAGGGTTTTGTGCCAGGCTAACTTTCTGCTCTGCAGTATTTGTCCAGGTATACCCGACTCCCAAATTATATTCTGATGTTGGATTCATTTTCGTTTACAGGTATTTACCTCGCTGAAGCCTCGGTCTGGTTGTCCGCCGTAATCTCACTGGCCGTGTTCGATATCTCGAAGGCCGTCGAGAACGGTATTGAGATCACCCCTGAGGTTGATCCATTGTCAGGCACAATCAGGTATGTCATACATCTGATCACGTCCGGCGCTGATCTGGATGTATGTCCTTCTAGCCACCCCAAACCCTTCAAGTGTTCCATTAAGCCTCGCTCTTCAAGAGCCGTCGCGCTGATTGAGCAGGACGTTAACTATTAAGCGCGTGAAGATGAATCACAGAGCTGAGGCAAGCGGCAATTTTCACACCTGACGTCTAGGTTCGTCATAGTTTAGAACTTGTATCATAATGCAGGGTCGGATCAGTAGTTGGTGCAAGCGTATGATGCTCCAAATGCCACTTTAATAAACTGCGCGATACACAACATCAAGTGCGCGATACCATACTAGTACTATGTCAAGACATTTCATGTAGGTACTTAAGCTAGTCAACTGGACAGCCGAAATCTTCGAAGCTGGGCTCAACTAGACGCAATATTGCCCATATCATGAGACTGTGGGGGTAAGACACCCACTTCTGTCTCACTTATGTTGCCCACAATACGCGCAAGTGTGGGTAGCACACCCACGTAAAAACGCGTCTGATATTGTGGCCAAAGCCCTGCGTCGTCAAAAAATACGCGCTGAGCCGCTCCTTCCAAAGCCTTTCGCACACGATCGGCGACCCCGCCCTCGAGTAATGAAGAGGTCTCGTCACAGAGTTGCATGCTATGCGCTCGACGGATAGCGAAGAAGGCCGGGCAGCGAGCAAAAATATGGTGCACGCTCTCAAAAGCGTCACAACCGAAATGACACCAGGGCGGCGTATCACGAAAACGCCGATGCCGCACTTCTGCGGTATCAAGTTGTGATGATTGGGCATACAATTGTACAACGGCAGAGAAGGAGCTAGATGCTCGGGTGTATGGGAAGTCCGGCAGGCGATGACTGTCATATAGTGCAACAGTCAGTCGCTCGCGCTGGACGAAAGAAGTTCCTCGACGCATAAAAAATCTTCCAGCCTAGAAATGAGGAAAGAGGACAAGTTGTTTTCAACAAAACCATAACCTGATGCAAACATAGTGTAATCATCCATCGAGAAAGTTGTCAGGGGCGCAGAGGGGAATAACACCACGTCGTTCTTGCGCAAATGAGGCCATCCGAGGCCATCCGATCAATATAATCGTTGGCGAGACATTCTGGCGTCAGGCCGTTGGTATGAGCAGCAGTCCAGATGAGTGAGGGCGCGGGTGTTGGAGAGTGTAGAAGTGAAAACAACCAGCGGTATAAGGAACGTGCTGGCTGATTGTGGGGTAGAGCACCGGGAAGAACGTCTTGTAGCATGTGGACTGCATTTTGTGATCTGTCAAAACGGAGTAGGGTTCTTGTGGGTTAGCGTGAATAGACAGTAAAACAGCGGCTATGATGCCCAGTAGCTCGCCATGCAGGATCCCTGCTGACGTTCCATAACTCGCCAGTGAGACTACCACCTGGCTATTGGGTGTCGCTGCTGCAGACGTAACTGACCGGCTCTGGAAAAGTGATGCTGGTGATGGGAGCATTGATGCGTCTGAGGCAGCAAAGGGATGTTGTTGAGAGAAGGAGTTCGTGGGAGCGGTATGTAAGGATGACAATGCTATGATTTTCTCTTCAGCCTGCAAGTGTTTCACCGCATGATCCATTCAGTAGCGTGCTGAGGCAGAGATGTCTCAGCCAAGATATCAACGAAGGGAGATGACGCCGTAGCGATGGTGCGGCGGCAGACAGTTCAGTCGTCAGGTCATGCGCAGGCTCAAAACGGAAAGGCGAGGCGGTATTTTGTGCAGACCAAGATCCGAAGTGAGAGAGCTGCGTGAAACCATTTCGTGTCAGTGATGGCAAGGCAACGCTCGGGAAGGACGAAGCAAACCTTGGAGAACTGTTCAGAATATGAAGCATGCTGATATGTCCCTCAAGCAGGTGAGACTGATCAGTGGGCACAATCGTGCAATCGACATTAAATAGGGTTTCTCGTGCCAAGATCCACGCCCAGGGGAGGCATTCGTGGGCATGAACAAAGGACTGGTGATGAGACGATCTCGCTAAGGGGTAGCGACAACCATCTGGCATGGATGACCAGTCTGTGAGTGTGATCCGTGCCATGGTACGAAAGGCATTGATGGGGTGGTTCAGGTCACACTGGAGACCCGTCACGGCAGCCGAGATATTCAACCGTGAAATACTAGGGAAGCTGAAATCGAAAAGTGCAATAGTCAATGAGAGGAGACCAGAGTTGAAACGTTGAAGGAGAAGGGAAAACGAAGATAATCATGTACGATATGGGCAATACGAAGGTCCAGTTTTTCAGCGTGTTGACGCACAGCATAGTCACGTGCATCTTCGCACCACACAGTTCACACACAGTGACAATACACTGGAATGCTAGCGTTTATTCATCGTTTTGATAGTATTTCAACGTTCCCAGTGAAAACCTACAAGTGATGGAGCGTGACTGACAGTGGCCAGACGTGAGGATAATTTGCGGAACCTGGTCATGTTGAGAGCCGATGTGTCCGAGGGAAGTAAGGCCGAGAGAGAGAGGGCCGCCAGCCGAGAAAGGAAAGGACGATACGGCCGAAGAATAGAGCACATCGAGTGCGAGCGTCTCCAAACGGAGAACGTCGACGACGTGTCAACGTCGGCAATCTTTTCGTTCTTTAAGTATATATTTTTCATCAAAGCTATTGCTGGCAGACTCACCGTATAAGAGGACGCTGTTTTCGTCGATGCGTCTCAGATTCGAAACGAATACATCAGGGAAAACCTCCTTCACGAAATCAAGGTAATTTCAGAGAATTCCTCTGAATTCCGCTGAAATAAAAGTAAACGAGATTATTCAACTCCAGTCGAAATTCCTTTGAATTCCTTTGAAATCCTTTGAATTTGCTGATTGATTATCTTGAATTATCTTGAATTCAAACAATGTGAAGACACACGAACATCAAATATATTAGAATTAAACGAGAATATCACAACCGAAAGACGGCAAAAAGATCAGCAGACTCGAAAAAGCACCAGTATGTACAAATGACTCGGAAGGTTGATTAATCTTCACCCATTGCATCAAGATCAAGGTAATCACAAGCGGCGTCCAATGAACCAGCGGGCTCTGAGCTTTCTACTGCACTAATGTTGAATTAGTTAGAGTACACGACGATAACAAATAGCGCGTGAGCAAGACATACCTGACTGCCTTGTAGAGACGCGCCATCAGTACATGGTACTTCTTTCGACTACCGTTAAAGATGCGTGTGAGAGTCGCTTGGTGAGCGTTGTAAACACTGATGTGGAAGGAGGAATTGAATGATTTGACTTGTGCGCCTGAGGGTGGGTTCCCGCTGCTCCAATCCTTCAATATCGAGTAAATCTGCAGAGAACATTATGTAGTGAGCAAACAGAGTAAACATTATCAAGAGCGGCACCTACAAGCGTTGCAATCAAACACACCATAGCAACAGGTAGCTCGGGCTCGTTGTTTCCATCCAAGACCGAGACAAAATCGTCACAGGACTGGACACCAATTGAGTTCTCACCATCGAAAAAAGATAAACGGATGGAGTCAACCATAGACTCGTCACAAAACGGTTGGTCCCCAAGGACCTTACCCTGGGTGGTGGATAAGAATAAGATAAATGAAGAGATAGATAACGAAAAAATGAACAGACCTTGGCGTCGGTTGGGAAAATATACTTGTGACCCTTGATGAGGTCGTCTACCTCGTCACCGCAGCCTTTCTTGAGTCCAAAACGAGAGACCACAATTTGATGCGCGAGTTTCTTGAGATTAGTACGGAAGGAACTAAGCCGTCCCTCCGGCTTGTGAGGATGTCAGTGATGTCCAGTAACATACAAGAAGTGTACATACCACTCCAGCGAGAGCCACCGCATAATCAAAGTCATGCTTGATCCTCTTTGCTATCGCATATTCCTTATGCTTCCCGGCAGCATTATAAACTGCATCGAGAGCCATCTTGCGCTTCTGAGTGATGTTGGGAAATGCGTTGTCGAAGATAGAGGCTTTCTTGAGTTCAAAGACGGCAGTCTTCAACACCTGCTGAATCCGAGTATTCTGAGCCTTGAGGTTGATCGAGCTATCGGCTGAGTAGACTAGATCTGTGAATATAGGCCATGTAAAGGAGTGTTCAGACAACTCCTTATCGGCGGAGGCTGGCAGTGCCTCGTCTGTTAGCTGCCGCGACTCTGCGAATTTGGGCCTCTAGAAAACAGTATATTCATTAGTAAGACAGAGTGATGGGAGCGTAGTAGAGTAGAACACATCACCTCAATTTCTTGACGTGCTTCTGCTACTTTGCTCCTTTTCTTCTTCTTCTTCTTGCTTGGCTGTGGTTTCGAGTTGGTGAGTGATGAAGGCTCGCGGTAATCATAACTTGCCTTGGAACGTTGACTGTCACTGCGGTCACTGGCAGACTCCGTGTCTTTGTCAGCAAACTGCAACTCTGACTCAGACTCGTCAGAAACCCCGCTAGATGTCATCCGAACACTATTCGACAATGTTTTGCTGGTTTGCGATAGTGCGCTGGCAGATCTAGCTGCACGAGGAGGCATCATGTAGGGAATCTTAAATAAAAGGTGCGTCATTTTTTTCATCATTCTCAACTTTGGGTAGCTAAGTGACGACTCACCTCTTTAATCAGTTCCTTCTGGGAGGGTACTAAGTCCTCATCATCGTCTTCTGGAACCTCCGCATTATCGTCCGATTTGTCGGTGTCATGATCACTCTCTCCGTATTCACTGACAGAGTCGTTATCTTCGATTGACACTGCGACTGACTTTGGCAGCTTGCTGTTTTTCTTATCGCGGCCTTGACTTTGACCATGACCGTTGACTTGATCCGCTGTTGAGTATCTCTCATACTGATCTGTTAAGCAACTACTAACCATTGTCTAACTTTTCTGCAGGTGTCTTTCGCGCTAACTTGGCGGCTGGTACTGATTGTAGCGCAGTTACTGTGGGTGCGCGCTTACGAGTATTGGTCGTTGTCTCATTCTTTCGCGCTAACTTGGCGGCTGGTACTGATTGTAGCGCAGTTACTGTGGGTGCGCGCTTACGAGTATTGGTCGTTGTCTCATTCCAGACTGAAACAAGGTGTGTCAATGACTGCTTTCTCCAATTGCCTGTACTAACTTTTTCGCTCTAAGGCCTTTACTTTGGATGACCGCTGCAGTGGTTCTTGGTGATGACTGTGAGTCCATCGCATTTTTCTTGGCCTATGGATGTACTCACTCTCTTCTGTATTGCCGGTTTTTTTGCCAGTGGAATCTTGACTTGCCACCTGGGCCTTTCTTTGGGCGTTCCGCTTGTGGGCGGCTATATCTGACGGCGTTGAAGACAGATGGGGACTCGGAGGCATACTACTAGTAGTGTTTGCTTCAGCTGAAGTTGGGAAGGGAAAGGTTGAGACGGTTATGAAAACTTATTGGTGGCCACTCTCATTTTCAGGTCTGTTTTTTTACTGTGCTGTGCCAGCGCTAGGGTCGTTGGTTTTTTTTTCATCTAACGTGTGGTTACAGAAATGGCTAAAACAAGCAGAGCGTCTACTAGCAGAATTTCAAGCTGCAACCGTCAACTTGAATGGTGCTCCCTCTCCTCCCCTCTCAGGTTCAGCTCGCCGCATCATCAAAGAAGCTGAGGCACGTGTAGCCCATGCTGATGGACAGAGAGTCCAGGCAGAAGCATGTACTGCCAGGCAACAAATCCAACTCGGTTCACAGTGTGCCACCATCATTTTAGTACGTTTGTTTGTTGCCGTGCTGTCACCGTAATCTAACCTGTTCTGAAATAGGCAGAAGCATGTACTGCCAGGCAACAAATCCAACTCGGTTCACAGTGTGCCACCATCATTTTAGTACGTTTGTTTGTTGCCGTGCTGTCACCGTAATCTAACCTGTTCTGAAATATCAAGTAAATTCGTGTTGTGTGGCCGCGTCTTCGTACCCTTCCATGCTAAGGAAGGGAGCCTGTACCTTTTTGAAACAACCGCGTCTTCGTACCCTTCCATGCTAAGGAAGGGAGCCTATACCTTTTTGAAACAACCGCGTCTTTGGCCGCGTCTTCGTACCCTTCCATGCTAAGGAAGGGAGCCTGTACCTTTTTGAAACCTGTACTGCCAGGCAACAAATCAAACTCGGTTCACAGTGTGTGAATCTTCACACTGGATAGCACGCTGTAAGGTTTGCACCGTCTCTCTACTACCCATCACTACCTACCTACCTACCACCACTACCTACCGCCTGTTTTGTTGCCAACAAAATGATCACTTGCCCAGGTTGCACCAAAAACTTCGAGCACGCTGGATACTCCCATCACCTAGCCAAGACCACGAATCCATCATGCGCAGCCCTATTACAACATTCTGGTCTTTTTCCTCAGTCAGAGCCTGAGGTTGAGAATTCTGACGGTCTTGATGATGGAGATGACAATGTTGATCCTCGTCATCTAACGGAATTTACAGGAGACTATTTTGGCCACTACAACGAACAAGATCTGGAATGGCCAGATGATAATGACGAAGTTGCAGCGGCGGAGCCTCCTTTGGATTCTGATGGCGAGGAAGAGGATCACAATGCAGAGGTTGAGGTTGAGAATGGGTGGGAACGCCCTGCAGATCCTGTACCGCAGGATATCGACGTTGATGTTTTTGAGGAGTCAGATATGTTGCCACAATCACATGCAGCCGAACGACAAGAAGCGGAGAAAGCCCTTGGTCGCCAGCCCACTATTGAGAAATTTCCGCGGCGCCATGCAGGTGCTCCAATACTTAACTCTGGCACTACCGCTTTCGAGTCTTATAACAATGCTCTGCAAGGCGCAGACAATGTTTGGGCTCCCTTCACATCTCGCATAGACTACGAGGTTGCAAAGTGGGCAAAACTTCGTGGATCGGGCTCAACTGCTTTTTCAGAGCTGCTTGCAGTCGAAGGGGTGAGTCTTCATTTTCTTGGGTCATGAATGGGCCAACTTTTTAACTACGTTTCTATAGCTTCATGATGCCTTAGGTCTTTCGTATCGAAACACCCGTGAACTCAATCAAATCATTGACCGACACTTACCATGCCGACGACCTCGTTTCAAACGTGAAGAAATCATTGTTGCAGACGAAGCATTTGACGTGTACTCGCGTGACGTCATGGAGTGCGTCAAAGCCCTTTATTCAGATCCGGATTTCTCGCAACACCTCAACTACACTCCCGAACGCCATTATGTCGATGCTGACAAAACAATCCGAATGTATCATGATATGCATACAGGAAAGTGGTGGTGGTCCACGCAGGCGAGTCTTTTGAAAAACG